CCATTCACTAATTACCGTAACCTTACCCGAATGAGTACACAATACATTGTTGATTGGAATCGGTTGGTCGAATCTTATCGTCAAAACAGACAAACCAGCCCCCGTCTTTAGGTAGTTGACTTCCCACTCTTCGAAAACTGTTGCAATAAAAGCGCGGTTTTTGGAACACATTTAGGTGATATATTAAACGCATGAACTCCTTCGCTGAATCTGACGTCATATATCGTACTGCCCATGTTACTGTACTGGAATGTCGCGGTGAATTATGTGAAATGACGTCAAAATTTGTATTTGGCTCATATTTGACATCATGGTTTTCATTGATCTGCAAACAAATTATGTGACCAATGATCATTTGAATAGGCGACATTCCGTTAACTGTGAGATCTCGCACATTGCTTGAAATGCGCTGACCGAGACGTCTGACGCAGAAATAGAATGATTTAATTTTGGATTTGATAACTAAATGTTGAAATGCCGATCTTTCAGAAAGGAAATAGAGTTGATATACCCTTAATTCTTCAAAACTGACCATAATCAAATGTGTAAAGCACAATATTGAACGTGGAATTGCCCCCCAATACTTTTTTGCTTGTCAGTCGTACACAAAGTTTTGACGCCAATAAGACGACAAGGCCTTTGTTTCTTCTGTTTTCAAGTTGGATTTTACGGATAAATCAGAATCTCAAGGGGAATGGTCTATGAATCTTGGAAGCAAATGGGTGTCGAGATCAAAAACGCCTCGAGACTTGTTTTTTATTTTCACTCATCGTATAGTATTCTGTTTTCTCCCGTCAACACGTCTGCTGATCTACGTATGTAACTGTACAGTGGTATTTGTAACAGTGAATGGAACACTTTTTGAGTTGAAAAAACAAGTATAGCGACTCTCTCGCTCTCGCCATTTACCAAATCACTAATAATTATCATAGTCTTGCACATGAATAATTTTGGCGCAAGCGACTATATCACTATTAATCCAATTATTGTTTCCATGGCAACCAGGCCGACATCTCTACCAATAATAATAATACATCTGAATCTCTACCAAACTTTGGCCGATTGGTTCCTACCAAGGATGACTCAAAAATTCATGTTATCGTTGTCCACATCTGTAACAAAATTCATTCGATTGCTCCCTATGTTCATGTCACTCTTTTCTGATAATCCATTCATAACCTTAATTTAATCGATTCGTTCGCATCAATTTCATGAAAATCCATGCTAAGCCTTACGTTTTCGAGTTGTAAATGAAAAATCATTCCCAAAATTGTTGTTTCAATGACAACCGTACCCATGTCTGTTCTACAATTTAATGGGTTCATGCTTGTATCAAAGGAAACCTCTCCTAGAAGTTCTTGAGAACTAACTACAATTTGTTTAGTTTATCCTACCAACAGACAAACAAACACATGCTACCGAAAACATAAATTCCTTGGCGGAGATAACAATAAACTAATTCTGAAAATCGTAATACTCGCACATTCGGTAACTGACTGCGCTGAAACTTTTGTAGGCAATTGCTTTATTGTCGGTGGAAGTAACCTTTATGTTTATGCCTTCACACTGCAGCATGGCGGGCAAATCATTAATATTAATCAGGCCTGGTGCATATGTATTATCTGACTAACATATAATTTAGCCGTTCACCCGGGCGTACAGACTGAGGAGCAGACCGTTGTTGTTTCTGAGAAATACAAAATCATCACTTGTTTCATTGGATTATCTTGTAGCAAAACAATCCCCTCTGTGGGAAATTTACCTGCAAATCATAACTTGGTGTATATTTCTCTTCTTGTTTTGGAGTTTCACACAGACATGTAACGTTTCTGCGTCTAAAATCTGTGGGTGGGTACGGGAGAAATGTACATAAATTAGTAAATGCTACTAAAGGTGCTACGTGTCCGCGCCACTAATTTTTAATGTTGTGGAGCAATTGCAATTATTTCAGTATGTTGGGCACATGGCATAAATTATGAATTTGATTTTATATTTAGAAGTATGTTGAGCGTTTTTATTAACGGTTTTCATCGTATATCTCTAAACTGAACAGTTGAAATAACGACTATTGCGTTCAACTGAGAGTGTACACGAATGCTCATTTGAAATCAGGTAGAGGGGCTGGCGGAATTTGGTATTTTCAAATATATGTTTACACTATCTGAAGACAAATGTTTATTTACGTTTTCCCCAATTATTTTAAGGGATTTTTTTCTTTACCCTTTTCTTTAACGTTTTCAGCATTTAGTTGTTAATTAGTGAAGTACTAGCATGTGTTGAACATTATGTTTCGGTGGTTAGTATGACATGATTTGAAACATTGTATACACTATAAAACAGTCAGGAAATTACACTGCGATATAAACACTCAGCAGCTTTGATAACCGATACCTGTTTTGTCGTCGTGACAACATCCCGATTACATTAGCCATGGTTTCATCGTGGGATTAATTTATGTCCGTACCATATGCGCGCGTAGCAGATTTAATATTTAGTTATTAGGGGCAAATCTCATCACGTCGTTGAATGAGTGTTTGCAGCCAGTACAATGTACACTAAAATTCCAATCATACGCCGCATAACCAAAATGGAAAAAGGATACTTAGCGTCAATACAAAGCTGGATGTGATGTACAACAGCCCAATATTTGTGGTTACTTATTGATCACCTTCTTTTAGCTGTGTCATTGGAGATTAAAAACGATAGTATTATTAAATATAATACCAACACGTGATAGAACTAGTACATATATTACTAACTCGTTCAACATTTTTTAAAATAAAGGAGAGACGAGTTTATGTTAAGGTAAAATGCTACTTGTCATTTTTTAAGCATATAGCAGTGACAATATCTCATTTCAAAACAATACTGTAATTAACTATTTATTATTTATTAATCAACTGTATGTGAACTATCAAACTGATTTTTGAGAAAAAACGTTACGCAAAAAATACTTTTACCAGCAGATTCATAGACAATGAAAACAAATTTCCTCGTCAAAAATCAGTAAAATATTGTATATCTCTTAACGGTTCTAAACATAAAAAAGGACATTGTAACACATACATTTTTTCACCGTTTGTAACCGAGCAAAATTA